ATATTAATATTTAACTTTTTTCTACAATTTTTATTATACTTATCATATTTACCATATTTTATATATTTCTCGTATATTACTACATTTATTATACAATATTTATTATATTTATTTGAATTATTATAAGGAATATAATAATTTTTTCTATTATGTGAGATTAATAGTAACGAAACTAATGCTAAACAAGTCACATTATTTCGAAATTAATAATCTACCAGAATACTTGCCTAGAACAAAAGAAATATGACGTAAACCTCCGTGTAATTTGTAAAGCTCTAATAGTCATGCAGACATCTAGGAATACAGCGATACAAGCCTGTGCCACACGTCGTAAAACATTCCCAACTTTTCTCTCTATTTTACTCACGCTCAATATTTCTCACTCTCGTCTCCAAACCACTCAACAAGCGAACGAATGCGAGTTTCCCACTCCCTCGGTAACTGTCGCGATGCGTACCCAACCAGCATCGGTTAAGTGAGCACTACCACACACAATCGATCAATATAACGATGTATCTATATCAACATAACTTATCACAGGGATGAAATGCTTACTATTAAACAAAATCGATGTTCTGTTAGGACTATGCACAATGATTCAGAATTACTTATACGTTTCTAATTACCTCAAATTATTGTTACCTTCTTGCAATATAAATTCCAAAATTGTTAATCAAAGTATAATATGTTATACGAATTAATGATAAGTAAAAATTCGTATTTCGATTGATATAAATAAAAGGATTCCAGATTTGAATACTTTCGTAACGTTAATTTTGTATTAATTAATTGTGAAATTAGCATTCTCGTTTCCCTGAATAGTATAGCTTCCAAATAGTAATTCAACAAATATAATAAAACGAACGCAGGAATTGCGAATCAATTTATAAATTGCTAATTCAAGAAATAAGTTATTAATTAATAAACGTGAATAATAAAATTAAATTATACGATACTTGGATACATCCGGTATAGATACGGATCATGGTGTCGCTAGTGAGTTCCCTGGAAAATCGTCTTAAGGCTGCATAAGCAACAAAAGATGAATCAGCATAATATTAAAATTTCTATTCGTTATAAATTCATTTTATGAATAATAATGAACGGTTCTTCTGGCTAGTATTATATAATACATTACCTTGGTATATTTTCTCTGATCGACCAATTGCGCCTTTTAAAGAAAGTTGAAAAACCAAGTAATAAATGAATTTGTGAATTTTTCTGTATTTCTCAACATCTATATTTATATATTTCTTTAACGTTTAACATTCGATAAACTATAACAATGGGGACACTTGTTTATTAGAATATTTTCGAGAAATCTACAATGAAGAAACCGTCTCGATAATCACTTGATACATATACAATATATATAAATTACTTTCGCACATGCAGATATCTTAAAAAATATGGGTAACACGACAAAATTGTATCCAAGAGAAGAATATTTATGGTAGCCATCTGTAATAAGATTGGTAAGACCAATCATCAGTTAGGTACACGCATAATCGACACGCATAATTCTCGAATTTATTTTTCTTGAAAACGAAACCACCAATGCAATTTTGTCATTCCTGATTTTATCCTTATTTTGAGCCACAGGATACCCTGACTCTCTCTCTCTTTCTCTCTCTCTCTCTCGCTCTCTCTCGCCCTCTCGCTCTGCACCTAATTTTATAATTTTTTATAATATAATAATTTTATTATTTTACCTACTAATTTTACTCCACCCTACATTTTCTCAGATATTTTCATGCTCGGTGATAACTCACACACACACTGATCATAAATATACACAAATAATCTGCCTGGAAGAAAAAAAGGAAAAAAAATAGGGAAAAGACGAGTTGGATTTCACGAACAATTCGACGTCCCATCGCACTATCACGCCACATTTAGCATGTTAATTTCGATTTTGTTCGAAACAGATATCGCGAGTCTGTAAAATTCTGCTCGATTACATCGCGCCACTCTAATGCTTTTCCTTTATCATTCGCAGTAATACATTATGTATACTTCCATTAAAGTATAATATACCATTCCTTGGGAAATGTGGCCGCTAGATTCACAATGAAACCTTTCTCGAACGCCTCCCCATAAGATTTATACGTCTCGAAAAGGAATTACTTACTTAGTGGATTCGTCCCGGTTGCATTTCAGTACCTAGCAAATATGTATATATATATTTTTTCTTCTTCTCGTCCTTCCTCTTCTTCTTCCTGCTCCTCTTCTTTTTCTTCTACTTTGTCGCTGTTCGAGTAACTGGAAGGCTAGCTGCGAAAACGTCCGCGGAACGTGATCTGGATGTAATCAGAACGTAATCAACGGATTGCTTATTACGTTTATTCGCACATATGGAGAGGTTGTTGTACGGCTAACCGTATTAGCACTACCAATTTAACTTGAAACATTAATGACATGCAAATTCAAGTGGCGACACCTGCTTGTTTCCAGATGCAAATTACCTTCTAAGCTGTGTCAGAGACGATACGTTGAAACTCATTGATCTGCGGATGAAGAAGATCATTGGATCATTTAGGTGAGCTTGTCTTTGTGTAATTTGTCTAACCTGTTGACTGAATAATTTGTTAGGAACGTAGGTTTATGCGGTTATGGCAAGTATACAGGGAAGTATTTAGTTTAGTTGGAGTGTAATTCAAGGTAATGTACATAAATACAGTGAATGAGTATAGGTATAGCTAGGTAAGATATAGCTAAGCTTTGGTCTCGTGAATTACTGAAATTAAATAAAAGACATTAGTATAATAATAACTTTCTGTGCATGACAGTGAAGCGTCATTTCAAGTTAAATATATTTATCGTGTTATCGTGTTCGTTTAGTTTGATAGAAATGTTGATTGTTCACTCTGAGAATTAATAAGAATTATGACATATGATGCCGAAATCAATTCATACTGTGGATTTCGTGGAAAAAGAATAAAAAGATTTTTATACAAATACAAAATCTGTAAATAATATTTACTAATTTGTTTATTACTTTTATATCATTTTTAAATTGCTTTTTAAACGATATTTTAATTTCTCTATATTTGAAAAAGATTAGTTAAAAGCAAAATAAGAATTATGATATATGATGCCTAAATCAGTGCATACTGTACATTTCGTGGAAAAAGAATAAAAAGATTTTTATACAAATACAAAATCTGTAAATAATATTTACTAATTTGTTTATTACTTTTATATCATTTTTAAATTGCTTTTTAAACGATATTTTAATTTCGATATATTTGGAAAAAGATTAGTTAAAAGCAAAATAAGAATTATGATATATGATGCCTAAATCAGTGCATACTGTGGATTTCGTGGAAAAAGAATAAAAGAATAAAAAAGAATAAAAAGCAAAAGAATAGAAAGCTTTTTTTAAAAAGAATAAATAAATTAAATACAAAATCTGTAAATAATATTTATTAATTTGTTTATTATTGTTTTATCATTTTTTAACTTGTTATTTAAACGAAATATATTTTAATTTCTTTATATTTAAAAAAGATTATTGTATCGAAATATTAGGTTAGCTAAAAAGTAATGTTAGTATTTTAACAAAAAGGAAGAGAAATTAAATTTTGAATTATAAGATTTTACAATCTTATATTTACTAATTTCTTTATTACTGTTATATCATTTTGTAACTTGTTATTTAAACGAAATATATTTTAATTTCTTTATATTTAAAAAAGATTATTGTATCGAAATATTAGGTTAGCTAAAAAGTAATGTTAGTATTTTAACAAAAAGGAAGAGAAATTAAATTTTGAATTATAAGATTTTACAATCTTGTGAGAATTGATATAATAGTAATTAACGTATCACAAATCATTTACTGCAAAAATCCGAAACTTATTGACCAAAGCAATGTTAATATTTTAACAAAAAGGAAGAGAAATTAAATTTTGAATTATAAGATTTTACAATTTTATGAGAATAGTAATTAAAATCCGAAATTTGGTGACCAACATAATACATCATTTAGATATTACTTTAAATGTATCGGTAAAACTGACATAAATTTACATTGCAAATTACACGCGTCCTTAAATTTGAAATAAAATACAATATTCAAATTCCACGAACGAATTTTTACATAAGAACAAATAATTTGATCGTAAGTAACCGTAATTTAAATATTTGCCTCCTTTCGTGTCTCATTGCTAATTATTTAATTTTAAAATAACGTTTCATATGCATACGTAGAATTCACGGGACCGTAAAATAATTAACCATAGGAGTGATTCAACACTCTAGTGCAAATATAACAAGAAATCAGCAGAAAATTTAATTCCGATGAAAACATTGGCTCACAGCAATATTTGAAATGAAACACTGAATTAATTGCGATATTCATTACTCTGATTTTTAGCGCCGATGGCTTTAAAGTTGGCTTCGATTGGACACGCGCAACTTTCAGTCCAGATGCTCATTACATAGCAGTTGGCTCTTCAGACGGATCCGTTTTCATTTGGTCTGTCGTCACGAACATGATTGAAACTGTGCTGAAAAACCATTCGTAAGTAACTCTTTTCGTCACCAATACACATCCTTAATTATGATTAATCAGTGATAGTAACCTTCATGGTCATTTTTATACGTATCTTCTCTTCTTTTTAACGACACTTTGACCGTTTAAAAGTTTTATGAATAACTCGTAGAATATATTTCTCGAAATTGTAATTAATCGTACGGTACACTATAGATGGAATTTTTCGTTAATTACATTTGAAAACAGAAAAGTTTTATAAAATTCTTGAAACCGAGATTAATTGTATGACTTACTGTTATAACTCTGAAGAGTCTTTAATTATTTGAACCATTTTTTAACACATTGCATACCGCATAGAAATCTCGAAGACATGCCAGGGATCGCACGTTTTGATAAGACAGTGAGTTGACATCTAAGGTCCATAACAAAGGGCACGTGAAAAACGAGAAAACTCGTGAGTGGTACGCAATATGTTAATGATGCATTAATTAATTGAAAGTCTTGTAAAATATATTTCACAAAATTCTCATTATTTATGAAAAAATTACTACGTTATTTTGATTACACATGGAATAGCGTAAACTAAATTTTAAAAAATGTTGAAAATATATCATAAAATGGATTTTGAGAAATTTTTATTGATCGTACAGTCTATTATTTAGCTACTGAAGATAGTACTTTTCCTTAACCTCGATTGAATTATTTAAATATTTAGTAAATTACCCACAAAATATATTTTTAAAAATTCTGATTAATTGCATAGTCCGATATTCATATTTTCTAAATTAGGTAATAAAGGTTAGTCGTGAATTTAGAATAAGAAACGATTGAAAAAATATATATTTCTATATAGCCCATAGTAGATGAATCGTTGTGAATAAAAGCTTTTAACCCTTTGCACTCGAGAGGCGCCCTTCAGTCGCCATTTCATAAAATTTCGAAGCTCGATATTCATAAGTATATCAAATTTCAAATAATGTAACGGTGTGCGAGGTATCGAAACCAAATAATTCTACGTAATAATTATCATACGATTTCTTATTTATTTCTCAAAAAAGTATCGTCAGCTTTGTAACAGAAAATCTTTGAACTCCTATTCTTCTTTGACCGAAAGATTGTCGAGTGCAAAGGGTTAATATTGTCATTGCACATTTAAATTAATACGGGAAAACAAATAATTATCGAGAAAAAATAATATGGGAATACGAGAAAATATATTGTATTATATCCTTGGCCAAGGCATACAAATGAATCTGATATTCAATCTCAAAATCATACAAAGCACGTCATTAACAAAATTTTTAATTTTTACTTTACGGGAACATTAATTTCCAAATAAATAAAATAATTAAGAACCAACAAAATAATTAATGTCTTATATAAACATTTTTTATTTCCATTATAAATACAGTTTCTAGTCCTCTTTGATAATTGAAGTTACATATTTCAAATAATAATTCATGGAAGCAGTGACGTATACATAGAATAAAATTTACAGATCTAATTGAAATTAACGATTTCAAAATTTCTAGGAACACGTTAGACAACTTTTTAAAATTTATTATTTATATCTTTCTTATAAACATAAATTCATTAAAAAATATCTAGGTAATAACAGTTATTTTCCATCCACGATCTTTTATTCTATAAATCCTCGATATCACAATTTCTACGATTACCACAAATTCGAAACATCACAGAGACAAGCGAATAAATTTACGAGCGATTTTGCACATTTTTTCTCGGCATCAAACACCCTAAAAATTGAAATGTCATGGCTGTAGAACCACAAATATTAGTTCTCCATAGCTAGCGTACGTCGGTTACGACCATACGTATGAAATCGTGCAATCACCAACAAGCCTATCTCAATAGTACGGGTAGTAGGCAAACATTGTAGTGATGCAACAACAATTGGTGATCCATGCTATCAATTCTCGCTGTTCGGAATAACCACTTACATTAATTTCATTATATTTGATTTAATCGCACAGACTTAGGTCTACGATTAATCGTACTAATCGTGTTTCTATTTGCGTCCCTTCATCCATTACACTAATCATTGCACCCTGTTTAAGGTAGGTAAGAATTGTTATCTATCAATCGCTATAATTTACTATAGCACTGAACAATTATTGATATTTACCAATTAAGTGATATATCAATGAACAGTCCAATCCCTTGACTATATTATTTATCATTAACACTTATAATTTTGCCATTTTTATCATAAATAGTTATTCATTAATTACCATAATTTATTACACGCGTATTACTGTCACGTTGGACACTCGTTTTAAATTATTATTCACTGCAGAACATATATGACGCGAACGACCATACTTCACGCAATTAGGATAGCAAAAAGGCACGTACACAGAAAGGATTAAATAATGCAGTATACTGTAATAAAGATTCTATTATGGTTCCCCGTGAACATTATGTAAAACTCGACACCCAACGTGTTAAATAATTTTTTACATTTATTACTGAAATTACTGTATAGTTCAAGTTTTTCACCCCTCGATTTATTATTAACCCATCAATTGGCCTTTTTCAAAGGCGATAGCTGTTCGAAAATCGATAGACACGATTTAGGAAACTGGTTATTAAATCGTATCTCGCCGGCAATATGTAGAAAATTAATTCGTTGTTAAACTGTGTGTAATAGTGTAATAGCAGGTATCTCGAGCATAAAGCTTCAATTTACAGCATTAACCTGCATAAAAATGATCATCGACCAGGAAATATAACATAGTATATCCCGAGTTTTTGGTAACTTTCATCCACGCAGTTCTCAATTTATGGTCGTAATAAAGGCGACTGGAAGATGCTGGAAGCTACATTCTGCGAGCAGAAAATCGCGTAAATCGCTTGCGCGCGTTATTTAAAGATACTGAGAAATAATCGCGCGTTTATTTTACCGGCGCGCTGGTATCGATACCGAATACCGTTACATAATTTGCTGCTAAAATTACTATCGATCGATCGCCTCTAGTACACCGGTCTTTAAGCATCGGCTTTTTGCGAATTCCGTTTGAATTTTCCACCTTATGCCTTTGCCGAAGCCGCAACGATGTAGCTAAATAAGCGGACATTAAAAGCACGTTAACATCGAATTAAAAGTCATTTTAAGGCGACCACTCAATCGTGCGCGCAGCCGCGCCGCGCAGCTTCCTCCTGGCTCCATCTACATCCCCCCACTTTGTTGCCGCTAACGCAACCGGCCGATCGTCTCAACTCTACCCACATTCATGAAGATATTCGAACGTTTACATGCACTGCTTTTAACGAGTATTTAATACGATGTACATAAATGCATGCTAAATTGAAGCATTCGAAGGAATAATGATGTAAATAGTACGGGAAGAGTCTGGGATTATAATATTTATAATTCGCTTACTACAAACGTGCGCCATTGCTCGATCACAAGAAATCGGTTCTTATATCGTGTGAATGATCTACCACTACAGGTTGCATAACTCTCACTGTTATACTTTGTAAAGAATGTGTAATAAAGTAAAATTAAATTTAGTTTCAAAATATTCGAGAACAATGAATAACATTAGTTGAGAACACCGTTAATTGTTAGGTAAGAAGTTTGAATATTATCTTTACTCATCTTGCGTTACTTAGGTCAGCCTTATAACAACTTCGCAGGGAACTCACTAGCGCCACCGTAACCCGTATCTCTAACGAATGCGATATAAATATCCTGTATGTATCGTTAAATTATTTTGTAACTTTAGCGTTATAATCCGGAGCTTTTCCCCGGTTTAACGTACACATTTCAGTCACTGAACGTAGCAAATGTAGGCGTTTGACTAGTTTCGTGTGTGAGTTTATGTATACGCGCTGAGTTCGTGCGTTAAAGCATCGAATCGTTCGTAATTGTAGTTAGCATCTTCGAGTGCTTTGCATACGTGCATACAACTAGCACTGACTCGAAAACTTCGTCGTGTGTTCCCCAGTCGATGGCGTGCACACGTTCGACCGCATGCATCCCCTAACCTTCGCCTAGTAAAGTGGCAAGGTACGGAAAAATATTTCGGCGTGACCTGATTTCCTTCTCCGACTCTTCTAGTTATATATACGCGGACACACCCGCCCATTCCGAGTAGTCCTGTACACATAATATTTATATACATGCATATATTAAATATATATATTTAAATGTGCATGTGTGTGTGTATGTGTATATGGGATACATCGCGATATCACAAATTTATACGGTAGCCTCGATGCCAGCAACTTCTTCAAGCCGTCGTGTCGGTTCCCGCAATTCAAACTGTCGCATCGAACCAACGAGTACTCTTCGTTTAGAAGGTATGTACAGTACGGGACAAAATCATAGCACGGTCTATAATTTTTACTGTTCCTTGGAATTCGTGTAATATATGCAAATGCTACATACGCAATCAAATAATGCATTTCTTAATAGTATGATAAGAGATTAGCCACATTTTCCACTTTTTTCTTTTTTTAGAAATTTTATCTTCTTATGTGAAAAATGCCTGTAACAAAATGGTAGCCTAAGTGCGAAAAAGATGAATCAATCGGATTTCATTTTCTCAGAAAGGAAATCATTTTAAGTTTAGGAAAGAAATAAATTCGAACTATGAATTTCTGAGAAATGAAATTTACGAAAATATTCCATAGACATTGTATAATTGCCTCTATTAGAATATAATTTCTGACGATTTATAAATGTGATTTGATAACGTATAATAATTACAATTAATGTACAAAAGTAAATGGACAGCGAGGTGTGAAAGAATTTTAATTATTACTGGAGACAAAAGACTTTTGTGGCCCAGTATATAGTATCTAATAATGATTTTCTTCTGTGCCTACTTTATTTTTTTGATCATTTAAAAATTTTGGTTTATTCTTCTTTCAACTCGTCTATTGATAAAGGGTTTGGTCTTTTATGGAACCGGGATTTAAAAGAATTTTAATTAACATCGGAAATATCGTTACAATTTATATTGGATACTTTTAAATTTTTAAAAATTCTTTTCCGATCA